CATGCTGAGTATTTACTAACGCATATTCGGAGGCATAGAGCATGTCGCTGGTGCTGCTACTCTGCCTACGGTGCGGGGTCCCACGTCGGGGTACGCCTTACTTCCACAAGCTGAGCCACGCTGCTCTGTCCACGCACCGCCTGGTGAACGGCATGCCAACCAATCCACTTCCACCGCCACACCACCCTCGGCCCTCATCCTGCCAGATGGCGACCCAGCACAGGGTTGGGACCAGCCGGCAGACTCCAGCAAGGAGCGTTGCAGTTCGCCATTGCGCTGGAGCTCTGCTCGGGGCAGGCTTCGATATGCGATGGGCCAGGCAGCGATCGATCGAACGTGAACTGCACGTCTGCGCGATCGCGCAGCGGTGGCGTGACGCGGCGCAGCACCTCGCGCGTGGTGCGGCGCGCCTCGAGGCGTAAAAAATCCCCTCCTCCAGCCCGGCCCGCGGGGAGACCGCACGACGGTGCGAGGGGGCGGCACTTCTCCGAGGCTGGGAGGGGTAAGGCTCGCCGCGTCGCTGAATCATTTGACTATTTTTGATCTTTCGTCCATTTTGCACGAGTTTACGCGTTCACGAGTTCACGCGACCACAGCCAGCGACATGTGTCCGCTGTGGGGCTGTACTCTTATATTTGTACTGCTGAGTAGGCAGGATGTTCGTCTGCATGCTCTAAACTCAGAGTGTTCCCGCATCGCGCTGCTGCTGCAAAAAAAAATAATGATTTTTCGTCCAAAATCCGCCTGTAGGGGGACACGCCCGACCTAACACTTCCCGAGCTGGGAGGGGGTGAGGTTCGCGCCGTGCCGCTGGCCATAGTACCCTTCAGTGGATTCCCCGCTGGTGCGACTTGGAGGAGGCCGGGCAGGGGTCTCCATCCCACCAGGGAGGGGATCACAATGATCACAGTCGACCTCTCCACTTCTTTACCCGTCTGGCTGGGACTTCGAAAGAGTGGCAAGCAGCCTAAGGCTCGACTAGCACTGGGATGCCAACGAAGAGTGTCGGGCCGGACGAAAGGGGGGGATTGGGAAAGGGGGGGTTACAAAATTTGTTGCATGCAGCTGGTTTCGGCCCCACCGAGGGGCCCATTCCTCGATACATAGTCGCCTCCGGCGCCGGAGGCGCAAAAAGCTACGTGAGCTGATCCTCAATCCCCCCTTTTGCTATCCCCCCGTTTCGCCCGACCCGAGCCTAAGGCTCGACTAGGACTGGGATGCCAGCGAAGAGTGGCAAAAGAACCCTTTTGCGCGCACGGTGCGGGTCTCCACTTGTCTCGTCCCCCCCCTCTGGGATCGGTCGACGCACCCGCGGCGGCGCGCACCGATCTTTCAGCAGGGAAAGAAACACACAGACACAATTAATCGTCGATTCCATAGAAGATATGGGAAAATATGGGAAGTGGGTGGGAAGACAGAAACCCAGAAAATATATGAAAATATGTGCAATCCTTTTATTTGTGTGTACTGATTTGTGTGCCTCAGGGCCCCTTCAATCTTGTCGTGCGCCGCCTCTGTAAGGAGCCCAGCCCGCGGCGACTGCCACTGCTTAGTTGGGGGCACTGCCCGAAGAGGGCGCGATGACCATGCCACCGCGTGACATGGCAGAGGATCCGCCTTCGACCGTGCATTCTTCCCCGCCCTGATCCTTGATCCCCTCCTGCTTTTTTGTCATCCCTGCATTTCTGTTCCTCGTCATCATACTGCTCACCATCATTCGCCCCTCCTCCCATCCGCCCCTTCATCTTCACGTGCCCCTCCCCCCCCCGCGACGACGACGGACAGAGTGGAATGAGGGAGACGGGGAAGGGAAGGAAGGCAGGGGAGGGATAGAAGAACGCGCATCGGAGGGAGGACGACGAGGGGGAGAAGGAGGAGGAGGAGGAAGAGTCGGAGGAGGAGGAGGAGGGAGTCGGAGGAAGATGAGGAGGAGGACGAGTAGCAGCAGCAGGTTTATCAGGAGGAGGAGGAGGAGGAGGAGGAGGAGGCAGGGTGACGGTGACCAAAAGTCGGTTCATCCCCATTTCGCGCCCGAGCGGTGGCCAGACCCAGGGGTAGGGCGCTTCGTTTAGGAGCTCAAGTGTTGCGCCTGATGGCAAGAACCCTGCTCTTGGGCGGGGGGGTCCTCATACTCCTCATCTCGCCATCGTCATGCTCATCTTCATCCGCCCCGTCCTGCTCATGTGTGCCTGTGTGGGAGCCGCCCGATCCTCATCCCGCCTGGTATTGTTTTTCCCAACCATCCTGTGGTGTTGGGTCCCCGTTTTGAAGAGACGGTGCCCCGCGTTCCTCCTCCCGCTGCCCCCTCCCCCCTCCTCCCATTATCATCACCATCCTCATCATGCTCATCATCATGAGCATCGTCATCATCATCATCCACATCGTGGTTGTCGGTCATCATCATCACCATCATCATCATCATCATCATCATCATCATCATCATCATCATCATCATCATCATCGGCACACCCCTGACACGTTTCGTGGCCCATAGGGAGCTCCACCGAAGGCCCAAATGGCTGCGTCCGCATGCCGCCGCCACCCAATTTTGGCACACCCCTCACACGTTTCGTGGCCCCATAGGGAGCTCCATCTAAGGCCCAAATGGCTGCGTCCGCATGCCGCCGCCACCCCATTTTGGCACACCCCTTACACGTTTCGTGGCCCCATGGGGAGCTCCACCGAAGGCCCAAATGGCTGCGTCCGCATGCCGCCGCCGCCCAATTTTGGCACACCCCTCACACGTTTCGTGGCCCCATAGGGAGCTCCATCTAAGGCCCAAATGGCTGCGTCCGCATGCCGCCGCCGCCCATTTTTGGCACACCCCTCACACGTTTCGTGGCCCCATGGGGAGCTCCACCGAAGGCCCAAATGGCTGCGTCCGCATGCCGCCGCCGCCCAATTTTGGTACACTCCTCACACGTTTCGTTGCCCCATAGGGAGCTCCATCTAAGGCCCAAATGGCTGCGTCCGCATGCCGCCGCCACCCCATATTTGGCACACTCCTTACACGCTTCGTGGCCCCATGGGGAGCGCCACCGAAGGCCCAAATGGCTGCGTCCGCATGCCGCCGCCACCCCATTGTGGCACACCCCTCACACGTTTTGTGGCCCCATAGGGAGCTCCATCTAAGGCCCAAATGGCTGCGTTCGCATGCCGCCGCCACCCCATTTTGGCACACCCCTCACACGTTGCGTGGTCCCACAGAAAGCTCCACCGAAGGCCCAAATGGCTGCGTTCGCATGCCGCCGCCACCCCATTTCGGCACACCCCTCACACGTTTCGTGGCCCCATAGGGAGCTCCACCGAAGGCCCCAGTGGCAGACCTCGCATGCCGCCCGCCACGACGACAGCCTCACGGGGGACCTCACGGGCCCGCTGTTGTTCATCGAGCCCCGCACGTCGGAGCCGTTCACCTTCCGCACCTCCCAGGTCACCCGGACGGGCTTCCCGTTTTCACACGGCAGGGTCATCACCACGGTGGCGTGCCAGGGGCGCACCATGCGGGAAGGCGGCGGGGCGGGGGAACGGCGCCACCGGGCAGTCTAAGGCCGAACCCTTCGAACGCGAGCGGTCCGCAGCCGGACCTTCTCGGTCCCGTGGACTCTCGCCCTGGGCCGTCGGCTGTCTTGCGCGCCGCTCCCTCGACCAACGCCGCCCAGGCGCGATCCTGGACTGCGGCCGCCACGAGGTCGGGAACGGCAAGAAGGAGGACGACGACTGGTGGCTGGAGCTCAACGTGCTGCTCTCGCGCGCCACGCGCCACGAGGATCTCCTGCTCACGCGGGCGCCGCTCAGAGGATGATCGGCGCCTGTCGGGGGATTTCACCCAGATCGCGCCATTTTCGCACGCCTCGCCACGCAGTACGGGGGCGCTATCCGTTGACTCAGAGTCGCAGTGGACAACCCCCGCGCGTCGATGGGATTCCCTCGGGATGACCAGACCGCGTCGGCGAGGACTTCCCAGGCACTTTCGCGCGGCGCCGCCTGCGCGCTGCATTCTGCGCGGCTCGCTGTCGGTCTGGAGGCAAAAACGTCTCCCCTCGTCTCTCGCTCCTCCTGCTTCCCATCGCTTCTGGACCGCGCGCTTCCCCGTCTCGTTTCTGCCGCTGCTGACCAGCCTTCGACATCTACACGGTGTCCCCGCCACCTCCTGCCCGCGCTGCCCTGTGCCTCGTCCACGCAGTGGCGCGGTGCCTATGAGAAGAGGGGCCTAGTTTGCGTGCCCCCTCCTTCGTCTCATATCCGCGCGGTACTCGCAGCTGCATATGGTTGGGTCCTTCGCCAGGCTAATTGTTTATTCTTGCGCGTAACAATCGTTGCCCGGCCCCCCCAAGGATAACGGAGGGGTGGGCCCTCCACATGTTGGTGCCCGAAGGCACAGTTATGTTGCGGCTCTGCCATCCTCACCCCGCCCAAACGCGACCGCTACCCGGAGCCCCACACCCCACCCCAACCCCCAGGGTAACGACCGTTACTTTATTATTTTCGACAAGCGCAAGCAACAAAAACTCTTCATCTTCTTCTTCATCCTTTTCGTCCTCATCATTCTGATGAAATTCCCCTCGTCGTCATTATCCTGATCGTGCTTCTCCGCATCCACCTCGTTCTCATGTTTCCAGTCCTCGTCCTACTCCACCTCTGCTGACGCATATTCTTCATAATCCTCTCTAGTATTGCCGTCCTCCTCCCCCTCCCCTTCCAGGAGCTGTGCATGATGCATTCGCTGCCAGGCTCTTGGATGCTCGCTTCGAGGGTAGAATATTTGCATGGCTGATGACAAAGCTGGGTGAGCAGCAGGAGGAGCTCGACGCACTGGTGAAACAGTCCAAGCGCCCCGTAACGCCCACGGCACCAGTACAGGTGGTGTCGGGGCGCCATCGCTTCCGCCCTGTCTTTGGAGGCTTCTGGCCCTGCGCCTTCTGTGCAGCCACTGCTAGCACGGACGAGGCCAAGCAGCGTCTCGAGCGAGCGGTCTGCGCGCCCTCCCCGCTGCAGAAGCTTATTGATGCTGCCTCTGCCGGTTCCTCCTCCTCCTCCTCCTCCTCCTCCCTCCTCCTCCTCCTCCTCCTCCTCCTCCTCCTCCTCCTCCTCCTCCTCCACCTCCTCCTCCTCCTCCTCCTCCTCCTCTTCGTCCCTCCCATCGGCTCGGGAAGAGGCCATCGCGGTAGCCCTCGCTGCGGCCGACGGGTACTTGAATTCTTTCTTTGACGGGGCCATTGACGCTCGGGCGTCTAGTGATTTGGGGCTTGGGTCTGCACCGTCGCGAGGGGACCCTTCGGCTACTGCCTCTGCTACTAGCGCATCGTGTGCAGCGGCCACTGTCTCCGGTAGGCCAGAGGCTCCAGAACTCGGAGTGGCAAGTGTTTCAGGTGCCAGGGGACTATCTTCCCCTCCTTCGGTGACTCCATTTGGTCTCTGAGGGCCCCTTTGTGTTTTGTTTGATCTGTGGGGGCAATTCCTCAACCCGGCAATCCACGACCATGCTTGCCCACTGCAACGGTAAGCGTGGGATTACTCAGGGAAGAATCAGGGCCCTTGATAACCTTAAGGCCAAACGTCACCCGCGAACGGGAGTTCCCCTAATCGGTGACGCCCAACGCGGCTAGAGGGATTATCGCCTTTTCCGTCTTTTATCGTGGTTCCCTCGTTTCTTCGGCGGAGTTTATTGGGCTTGCGTCTCCTCTCCCTCCCCTTCCCTTTCGTGTTCAATCATCCGCATCCTGCTCCGCATCATTGGCATCCTGCCCATATTTCGCATCCTCCAGCTGCCCCGTCCCCCTCCGCGTAGGGGGCACCACGGCGTGACTTGTCGACATAAGGCCAAGACGTCGAGCTCGGGGGACTTGAATTTGGATCTGGCGGGGCCGAGTTGTCAGCCTGCCAGGGCGGGGGGGGAGTGGGGCTGAGTCACCCTCCACTCGAGTCTCGAATGTTAGCCGTTGATTCCTGGTCCTGTCGCTCACGCGCCAGAAAGTCCCGAAGATGGTCGACCGAGTTCCCTCGCCGGCGCCCCCGCAGCTACAGCCCCGCCTCTCTCTTGCATGTGCACTGCCTGGTGCAGGGCTTCACTGACACTGCTTATGACATTGTGTGGTTGCGCTGCGCTGAAGAATCAGCACCTCTCTCTGATTCATCCTCCCTCATCTTACTTCAGCCCTCACTCCCTCCTGTCCTCCTCAATCCTCCTCCCTCCTGCTCCTACGCTTCCGCGTCTCGTTTTCCCCCACTCCCCGTCCTTCAGCTCCACCCCTCCCTCCCCCCGACGACGACGACCACGACCAGCGCGTCCCAGGACGGCATCTGCTGTTGGGGCATCGTTTGCGCGAAGGAGACCCTGCCGGGCCGCCGCCGACGACGCAAATATTTTGATATTGACGAACTTTCCAAACTCCCTTGTTGCAAGGCCCTCATGCAGTCAACGACAGTTCAATCTGCCGCGCGTTGGGCAAGCCAGGTTCGCCGCTCCGTGCCCGCCGGTGCCATCTGATGCGCAATATTCGTTTTACGTGTTTGTGTTCAATCGTCACCTCTCATCCACTGTGTATCCTTCTCCCATTTCTTCCCCGCGTGCTGTGCGCACTCCTCTTCCGCATCCACTTATCGATGACAGAACGAGCAAGGGGGGAATATCGAAGAGGAATGCGCAAAGCACGCCAGGCAGATTGAGCAACAACTTGGAGGGTGGAGCATGGGCGCAACGGGAATCGGGAGCGAGGGGGAAAAGAAAGGAAAGTGATGAGCGAGGACGATGTATAGCCCCTCGCATGAGGTGGCAACGTGGAAGCGGAACGAGCACACCCAGATGAATGCCCGCGGAACCGAGAAGCAAGTGTCACAAACCAAACGACACCCCCATACCCTCATAAATACGTAACTTCTTTGTCCTTCTGCCCCCTTCGCCGACGGTGCAACCATATGTGAAAGCGCGGGTAGCGTTGAGCAGAAAGTCGCATCATCCCGAGACGGTTCAGCACACATTGCCATAACACCACCATCATCATCATCATCAGCAGCAGCAGCATCATCATCACCACCATCATCCCTCGTCATCTCTCATCATCCATATGTTTCTTCACTGTACTAACCGGGTTCCCGCTCTTCCTCATTTCGCCCCTCTCCCCCTTCTCTCCCCGCATCGGCACCCAGCCTGCCCCTCCTCGCCCGTCCTCCTTCCCTTTCTGCTGTCGTTTAGTTTGGAGTTTCGGGGTAACTCTGGAAATCATCGTCTCCACGGGCATCTCATCTACACCATCCTCCTCTAATTACCTCTCCTTCCTGCGCCTCTCCCGTTGTTACTATTTTTCTCCACCCTCCTTCACCCTCCTCATCCTCCTTCGGTTCTCTCTATTGCCTTTCTCCGCCTCTCCGTCGGGCTCCTCCTCCTCCTCCTCGTCCTCCTCTTCTGGCTCCTCCTCAGATGATCCTGCCTCTCCCCGTTCGCTTCCTCCCCGTCTTCGTCATCACAGTCGCCCTGGAGGGGGGTGAGGAAGAGGAAGA